CTTTCCTTGGTCAGATACCATTAGTTTAAATCCCATCAGCATATATGGGATATCAGAATTTTTTGCTCCTATGCACTAATCTAAGGTGTCAACAAATAAAAGTAAAAAACAGACAATTGTTATTATTACATTTTTACCCTGCCTTTCTTCCCCTTGCAAGGAACCCAAGAAGGCTTACAAGACTCTTCTCCTTAGTTCACCTGGTATGTATCTTTGCATGTGATAATGCATATATGATGTTTAATGGCCTCTGCAGTTACCTATTCCCAGCAATTCAAACACAAAAACTCACAATCAAACTGCCATATTGTCATATAGCCTCTTCCTAACTCTACCGCACTTTATGCATCACTACAGCACCCAGCCAGCACTTCACTACCTGTATACTCACCAGGATATTTCACAGGCCAAGAGTTTACCCTAGCAGCACTCATTTTCAATATTGTTGTATTCAAGGCATTACATGTGCAGCTGAATAAGTTGACATAATTTGGTGGGCATACTAGATCCTTTAAACTGCATTTGGATCATACCATCAAACTTTTCTGTAAGGCTGCAACATGTAGTTTGATGACAATAGTTTCATTATCCTTAAAGAAAGCAGGGTTTCTCCCACCACAAAACTGTTACTCTTATAGGACTTTTGTGGCGCTATTCTATCCATGTCTGCCCAGAAATGAGTTCAACAGGGTTTTCTCCCAGGTAAGAAGAGATAGGATTACAGCCTTAATTTCCCAGTGCAAATTATCTCAACGACCATGAGAGTAGAGTTTCCTTTTTATTGCCCATATAGGGAGTTGGGGCTTTAAGCCAGATCTTCAAGATCAACTCTCTATCCACTGAACACACTGTCACCCCACATAGTGAACAAAATAAAGGGCTTAACAAGCTGAAGAGACAGCATATTACTGCACATGAAAAGATATAATAAAGTACATCATTAGACTTAATCTAAGAAGATTGCCAAAGTCTGCAAAGTTTTGCTTTCATTTTAAGAACAGCAACATGTTTCTACTCTTTGGTGAATGGATCACAATCCAGAAGGGATTGATATGAGACTAAAGTGTCCAAGGGCAATGGCCCATATGCTTTCCTACCCTTTGAAGTTGAAAAAAGAATTTATCATATCAAGTAAACATTTGCAAATGTGTACATTCCTTTTCCTCTTGATGAACTATGGTATTACAGTTTCAGGATTTAGCTTATTTTAAAAATATATTACACACACAAACACATTTAGTTTCTTGTTAATCACTGAAATATATCTGAGAGATTAGGCAAGGACGGTTTTTTAGCCTTCCTCAATACCCACCCAATAAAGCAATATTCATTCTACAGCTACCTATCAGGATAGAAAATAAATGTGGTGTTCTTGTTTCTGAAAGAAAAAAAAATTACAACCCCATAAAAAAATGAAAGAAACATCAACATTAATTTGTTATTGGTTAAGGCTACAGCTGTGTTGTAATTCAGAAGCTATGAAGGGCCTTCCAGCTGGGATTTCAAAGTGCTTTGTCTAAGGCTCAAGCCAGAGCAACACAAAGACTTGCAGTTAAAGAAGGTGTGGAATGTTAAGCCAATTCACTCCTACAATTTGCTGATTTTCCTTAATCTTTTGTTTTTAATTAATGCAGTTTCTTCTCCCACCCACCGGCCCCCTTCCCCTCTTGTCTTTCACAGTGACATTTGAAAAGGATCTTATTGAAAGTGCTGCTCATCCAGGTAGAGCTGGAGCAAGAAAGGTAACATATTTGTTTTGTGGCAGCTACCCGAAAGCCCGGACCAATGCTGGAGGGTCAGCATCCAGTTCTACTGATACAGCAATCTCCAACACTAAATACATTTCATATTTGTGCCTGCATACATTATATTAATGCTAGCTTTTCCTTTCTCATAAATCCTAGGAGAGCACCTTTTGAAGGAGGAAGAGTTGAAAGGCACAAGGGGATTAGAGCTTTACCGAGCCAACAGATATCTCTGAGGAAGGAGACCGCTTTTCATCCTGCTAAACTGTGCAGGCAGGCAGGCAAAGAGATGGGAAGGAAATGCCTTTAGGGTTTTTAGTCAGTTTGAAGTCTTTTGGATCTTGGCATGAGCCAAGCCACCATCAGCAGAGTACAGGTCAGCAGACAATACAGCCTTCCTAACCAGCCTGCCTGTCATTCTTGCTTCCTACACTCCAGAAATAACATCTCTTTCAAGGGAAAATGAACCCATAGTTGCCATCAACTCTTTCAGCCAAGAATTTCTGGGATACCCAGAGAAATTCAAGAGCAATAGCAGGAGGTGATTACTTGGCACTGCTCTTCAACTCAGGCTCAAATGCCAGCACAGAGAGAAGGCAGCAGATGCCCTCTTTTGCAGAAACTCCTAGATGTGCTTATTCTGTTTGGAAAGAGGGCTGAAACACTTAAATGCTAATGTGTGAGCACCACCTCCCAGCCCTCATCATCCAAGGTACCTCAATTTAAACTTATAAAAATGAATGTGATATCCAATTAGTATACTATTGAGTGCCCATTTCTAATATAACGACTATCTTACAAAACACCCACTTTCTGAACTAAACACCAGATCCTTGAGAAAGTCTATGTTCTGCATTCACTGCAATAACTCCACTGCTAAAGATCAGCATAAGAAGTTGTATCTCAGATTTAATTTTTCATCCAATTAATCTGTGGCAGCATTAGATATTTTAATTCTGGCTCTCCATCTCAGTATCCTAAGTCTTGAATCCTCAAAGTTATCCAAAATTAATAAGAGAAAGTACTTCTTTACCTGAAATGTTCATTGCCTGTCCATACATTTTATGTTTTCATCACATTCCACTTAAAAGTGACATCAGTGCCTCTGCTTCATATAATCTATTCCACTTTTAATTTAGGAAACCGTTACAAGAATGACCTCATCAGGATGGGCAACATGGGCCACCACACCAATTATACTTGATGCTCATCTGAGTTAATGTTTTACACGTCACAACCATGAAAATGCCTAATTGCCCTAACAAGGTTAGATATTACACTTGCAACAATGGAACTACTACTTGAGATGCCATCCTGGTATTGGTACAACAGGAGCTTGCATGTAAGATAGCATACTAGGGATGCTTCCAGACAGAGGGTTCCTAGCCCCAACTATCTGTAGGCATCATGCTGCTAGTCAATCTTTCCTTCTTAACCTATTTTCCACAGCAGGATAAAAGAGGAAAGAAGTGGTGGGAAAACTAGAGAGGATCACAAGTGAATGATGACAGGCCTTCAAACTGACTAATCCCCTGCAAAAAAAATCAGTGAGCAAGGTAGGGCGATGGCATATTAGAAGCCTGGTCCAGAAACACCCTGAGCAAAAACCACCTTTTCTCCATAACTTGCAATGAGCTTATCTGTCCAGCTAGTATGCTGTGCAAAATCCAGCAACTTAATGCAATAAGTATTAAGGAAATTTTTACCCAGTTACATGGCAGTAAAGCCCACTGAACCCAATGGGACTTACTTCTGAAATGCATGTGCATAAGTCTACACTGTTAATATTACTGACAGAAACATATCAAGTCAGATGGCACCATTTTTTTGTCAGAACTAATAAAGAAATTTTATATTTGATCTATTTGTTCTAAAGTGGCAGGAAACTAACTTATCTTCTCTGCCCCTTCCTGTTCTGTTTTCTTTCTTTTGGCATCCACCTAAAAGCATCCTTGAGCCAGAAATATCAGATTCAACAGAAAATTGCTGGCCACTTTCCATCACCTGTTCAGATGGCCACTTTGCCACCTCTTTTCTGATCTTCACTGGGGGTGGGTGGGGTGCAGCCTCTCCTGACATAAAGAAATTGCAGCTTCAGGCATGAACTTACTGGTGAAGAACAAAGCAACACTCCTGAACACAAGACAGTATTAGGAAGAACCCCCTTTGATATTCTGTATAAATCATTCCAGGTTAAGCTGCCATCCAAGGGATACTGAGAGGATCAGTTAATGAGTGTGAAAGCACTTTGAAGATGAAAAGCAATCTAAGTGCCAAGTATTATTTCAAATTGATATTTATATATGCTGTGCTTTTTGTATTTTTAGGATGTGCCTTGGCAAGCTAAAGGCTCTCTTTATCAGGAACATCTCTAGAGAAATTGGTGGGAATTGAATTTGTTAGAGAATAAAAGGCACAAGAAAATTTTATACTTGAACTGTTGGCAGATGGGTGGGGAAAATTTACTGTGAATACAAACATCACAGTAATGGCTGTTTAACAGCAAGGGGAGAAACAAGGTCCAAAGCAAAGATAGATGGACAGACAAATATTAAAAAAAAAAAAAGATGGCAAAGGAAAAGCTAGCCAACCAAGTCCTCCAGCATTAAGGACCACCAGAGGCTGCACTACTTTCTAGAACCACTCCTCCTGCTCCCCTCCATCACCACCACATGGGTCCCAACAAGGCACTGTGGAAGACAAAAGTTTTATCAGTTTTGAGAAATTGATGCGGGTGTGGGGGAAAACGGAAAGAGAAAGCTTCCTCAGCAACAGCAGAAGCGACTTCCAAGGTGCCCCCCCCGCTCTCTTAAATAGGGGCGCAGCACACCCCACCCCCACACAACCCCAGAACTAGCAGAGCTGAGGGGGCAAAGAAAGCGGGGTTACCACACACCACAGAGAGAACTGAGGCTTTTGCTCCTCGAGGCCCTTCCCTTCTTACTCCGGGGGTGCGCTGAGTCGTCGCTAGTTCGCCCTCCTCGGTCCTTTGTCCACAACCCCCTCCCCGAACCCCGTCCCCACAGCCAGGCAGGGGTCGCCTCCAGGCCTGGGCGCCCTCCCCGGCGCCCAAGGGAGACGAGCAGCCCGGCTCGAACCCCAGGCTCGCGCCCGAGTTCCAGCGGGGCCTGCACGCGCTCCCGGCGCCCTCTCAGCCCCATTCATTAGCCGGCGAGAGCGGCAACTGGAGCTGTTGCCGCCGCTGCTAGTCGCCCTTTCCCCGCCGCGGTGGCGGCGGCAGCCTTCGAATCGTACCTGTTGTCTGCAAGGCTTCCAGGGCGAGCCCAAGCGCAGCACCTGAGGAGCCCGGAGAGGGGCGGGGGCAGAGGGTGGCGGGCTCGCTCGCTCCCTCCGTCGGTTCCCGGACGCCGCTTCGCAGGCAGCCTGCGAGAAGCCTGCCGCGCTCCGCTCAGCGCCTGCCGCACAGGCAGCAAACAACAGCCGCCGCGAGATTGGGGGCTGGTGCTGGATGCATTCGCAGCGTCTCCTCAAAGGCCACAACAGGCTCTGCGGGGAGCACCGAAGAGGAGCTGGGGCTGCCGCGGTTAACCCTTTCCAGGCCGCCCCCAGCTTCGGGAGTGAACCCTGCGCCGCTCGATCGTCCGCCCGCCAGCTCTTCTCTTCCTCCGCTGCTCCCATCACATTTGATCCGCCCCCTTCCTCCCCCTCCTCTCCCGAATCTCCACCCACCTGGGGCCAAGGTTGTTTTAGTCTTCTTAGCATTTCGTATTATTTTATATATTTGTTGACTGAGAAATCCCGTCTTCGGTTGTCCCTTCTCCATGGGTCTGCTCGGGAGTAAAAGGGTTAGGATTTTACAGCTCGAAGCCGAAATCCGCTGGCATTCTCTCGTGATCATCCAATGGAACGCAAGGCGTTGATGCCACGAATACTGACTTATTAGTCGTCTTGGGAAAAGCCCCATAGAACACAATAAGGCCTACTTCTGGGAAAAGGCGCATCGGCAGGTATCTCCCCTCCCCCGATTACAGCTTCATGTTCCTTGTTGCGTATGAATGTGCCTAGAATCGGAGCCTTAATTAAACCTCATGAGCATGTGATCTCCGGTTTAGTTGCGTTGCGATCCGCGGGAATCGATTACATTCCAAGTACTGGTGTTTATCAAGTGGTCGTAGTCCACTGACCTCTTTCTTGGGATCTCGGTGCTGTCTAAACCTCAGAGGCGTTTGCATGCGGCTACTCGGGGGGTAAGTAATGCATTACAGCAGGGCTCAACACAACTCACTGATAATGCCTCCTGACTTGCAAAGGGGAAAGTGATTGTCCAAGTGGTTTCCTCCCTGCTTCAAATCTGTTTGTAGGTCCCTTAGGCAAGGTGAGGTGTAAGCCCTATAACAAAGAGGTATCAAGTAGCAGAAGGGCTCCTTCGCAGCAGCACCGGTTATCCATGCTGATTCCACTCCTCCAGATGGATTCCCAGTCCTGAAGCTAGAGAGATGGCAAGTCTGCTGACTCCTTCCATCTTCTCCTGGATGGGGTGGGCACAAAGGTAGTTCTTCAAACATTTTGTACTTAAGCTATCAGCACTCAGAGAAGAGAAGGCTATCAGTGGCTACTAGTCCTGATGGCCATAAGCAACCTACACCAGCAGAGGTAATATGGCTGCATATACCAGTTACTGGGTAACATGGCCCAGAGGGAGGGTGTGTTGCCCTCAGTCTTCTGCCCGTGGGGTGCTGGGGCACTGTCCACACAGAATACTGGGCTAGACCGTTGGTTTGATCCAGCATGGCTCTTCTCATGTTCGTTCCTGACCATTCACAATGCTGGAGCAGAGTTCCTGGAAGCCGAAGTTCTAAACATCAGATCTGCCCTCTGTCTACCACTACTACCCTAGCTGAACTCTCCAGGTATTTCTGGAACGGGTAGGCAAAACCCTCAAAATACGTTTTACAAGTAGTGAGGGGAGCAGTGTAAATATGAAACATTTATCAGCTTGTAAGAAAGACTGGTTCCTTTTGCTAACATGAAACAATGAGGCCTAGATTATTTCCAGAGACAATTAGTGAATCCATGGCAGGGCAGATTACTCAAGAATGTGAATTTAACTTAGGTTTGGCAACTTACTGGAGACAGGTTCTAGTCTGCACACATCCTTGAAGCTAACTGGGTGACTTTGAGCCAGTCACAGACTTTCAGCCCACCTCACAGGGTTGTTGTGAGGATAAGATGGAGAGGAGGAGGAGAATTATGTAAGCTGCTCTGAGTTACTTGAGAGGAAAAAAGGCAGAATATAAATATAATAAATAAATAATAGTCCCAGGTATGTGTGCATAGGTTTATTGGCAGACTGACCCAAATAAAATGAGTATTCTGCTATGACTGCTGTTCTTACGGTGAGGGCACATATGCCCACTGAGTGTCATGATGAGCTCCTTGCACTCCATAATTTGCCAGTTCACCAACAGTGGCAAATATGTGATCCTCCAGACCTCCTGCAACTGCTAGTCTTATCAGTTGTTGCTTGTAGCATTGGGGCATATAGCTGCTGCTTGTGAAGAAGCTTCATACACACTAGGGATGGCGATAGTGAGGTCATTCACATATTGGTGGAGTCAGGCTTTTTTTGTCATAGAACCCTTCTGGCACCCTTTTTTCAATGGATTTTACAAAGTGATTTTGGGTAGCAGATCAGCAGCAAACATCATTAACATAGTGCCTGCAGGCTGCTATTGTATCGGCTGTCTGTGTGCTTACTGCCCCCTGGGTGGAGTGCAGCTTCCATCAGTGTCATCCAACGGCAAGGAATGATGGGAATTTCAATCCAGCAACATCTGGAGGGCCACATGCTCCCAATGCCTATGTTATACCTTGGCTCAGCTCAAAGGTGGGCAGATATATGCATTGCATGGCCTTTGCAGAAATGTGCATTATTAATTGATCGTGCAATGCATATAAGAAATATATTCTCACTCTTTGTTATCAGACAATCTTAAATGAATGGATAAGGTGTGGTGCAGGGAGAATTTTCAGCCGTCGCAACACAGCCTACACCATTAAGCAGGGTCTCCCAACTCCGTGTTCTGGAACAGGAAGATTCTGGAAGGGATTCCATGGGGAAGATGGGGCAGAGAAATCCTCTTCAGCCAGCTCAGCTGCACACATTTAAATCGTGATCCAACACAGTACCTGTCACTGATAATAGTGGTGGAATATAACATGACTAAGTAAACACATTCAGAATTAGAATGCTAGTAGCACTGGGAACCAGAATATGCTTCTAATACATATTGCCTGATAAAGTAGGAGCTGCTTTTAAGACAAGGTAGAAGTCATGCAGTCTGGAAGCTTCTACAAGGATTGCCTTATTCTTTTTTCCAGTACTGTTTTGAGGTGAACCTGGATCAAAAGGGGCAGATCAAGTGGATGTCTGTAAGTCGCATTAAGTACTGCCATTTGTCTCTCTCAAATATATATATATATATATATATATATATATATATATATATATATAAATAAATAAAAAATAATGGTTGCTCAATAGGGACGCCTCCACAAGATTTTAGCTTTTTGGCAGAAGCCTTTTCCTGTGATTATTTCAATACTGTGAGTCACTGCCTCCTGAACAAATCCACATTTCAAAAGTTTCCAAGACAGGATGAAGCATTTCAAAAAATGCCACTACGGTCAGCTTCGTAATGTAAAAGTACACATGTAAAGTGGACCTATGTGGCTCTGTTAAGATGAAGGACACAATTGGTTGGCTCGAGGGCTTCTTTATTGCCAACCTGGCGGAACAGCTTCCATACTCAGTCTTCGGAGCAGTGCATGGAGCTGGTGACTATAGAATACACAATGCCTGTACCTATCTGTCCAAATGCATATAAGATATACTAGCCAGCCATCATAAGAAGATGATGATACTCGGACATTGACACCTTCCCTCCCTATCTCTTCCATCCCCCAGGAATCTCCACCAGGATTTGCTGTTTCTCTGCAGTTAGCAGTGGTCAGAACAGCACTCTTGCAAGCAGAGTCACTGGGGTCAGGGAGAGGTTTTCATCCCCCATCAATCACCAGCAAGTTCACTTTTTCTCAATGCAGTCCAGCTGGACTGCAGAAAAGGTGGTGGGGTCCCTGCAGGCCACACCAAGAGTCCCAAAGGGCCACCTGTAGTCCATGACTTGCCTATTTCAAAGACTTCAATGATTTCTGACACTGTTACTCGAAGGATCGCCTTCACTTTTTATAGCCTGCCTCATTTAAGAGCCACAGTACAGGTCTTTCTCATGTGCCAGCCTCTGAGAGAAATCCGATTTGTGGGCACAAGCAAAAGAGTCATGTTCTGCAGTGGCCCCACATTTGTGGTATATATTTCCAGCCAGGGGTTGTCAGGTCCCACCGTTACATGCCTTTGAAGACCCTTTTGTTTCTGGTGGTTTTTCTATGAGATGTGACAGCTGATGCTTTTCAGCTCATTTGGTCATTGTCCTTTCTGTCAAAGGTGGCTTTAAAATATTCGAAATCAATTATAATTATATGTACCTAGATATGCAACCAAATCATGTAGACCTTTACTTGGCTGTTCAGTGGGATTCACTTCCAGCTATGTATACATAGAATTTATGCCTTCTTTCAAATGGGGATGAGAAATTCTGGGATTAAGGTGGTTTCTGACAAGAGGTTTGTTATTGTCATTAACCTTCTTCCGTGCAGGATTCTCTGGTTCAGGGCCAGCCTACCCATGAAACAGAGTGGGATGGCAGAGCAAAAAGAGTAGCAAATTCTCCATCCTCAACCTCAGCCCAAAGAGAGCACTTTTACGGCCAGACGACACTCTAGAGTGCAGTTCAGAGCAGCTCCCAGGCCTCTGTTGCCAGGGGATCCACTTCTAGCATGAGAGCTCAGCTCTGCCCCATGACTTTGTGGGAGCTTTTCAGCACTCATAAGTTCTCACAAAGCTCAAGGCAGCAAAAGGAAAGGGGGAGGTGTTCGTGTGGACTGGTGGCCACAGCAGGGAGGTGGCAGGGAAAATTCTGCAGTGGCAGTGCAAGTCCCGCTCCAGATTCATGAAGGAGAGGCCATCAGTGGCTACTAGCCTTGCCGGCTAATGCTGCCTCCTTTACCAGAGGGGAGATGCTTGCACACACCAATTGCTGAGGAGCTGGGCAGGAGGAGGCCTTGCACCCGTCCTGCTTGAGGGATCCTGTGGGCAGCTTTTGCCCCATGCATAGAGTGCTGGCCTAGATGGACCTTGGGCATGACTTTTGTTCTGCTCTGAAATTGTGCCAGGCCTGCTGCAGATCTTTTGGATTACAGCTCCCATTGCCCGCAGACATGTGTTTTGTTGAATGGGAATGATGGGATTTGTAAATAAAAACATCTGGAGGACACCACACTGAGAAAAGCTGGTGTATCCCATTACAATTCAAGACATTCTCCTTTTGTGAAAAGAACCATTTTCAATTCAGGACACTATGATAATAATCTGGACTGCCGGAGAAATTCAAGACAATTGCTAAGCCTGCCCCCAGCTCTGCACAGTCCCTGGCATGATACAGCCATGTGTAAAGCTGTTGTGTGGCAGAGAATTTGGTGATGTCAGACATGGAAATAGCATTCTGTGGAGGCCCAGCACACGGCTCCAGCTCAGCTGCTGTAAA